CAGTATTTTAAAAAATAATGTGTTTTTTGAACATTAAAGCATGTCAACATATTCTGTTACACCAAATACACAAAATAATGATCTTTGAAAAAGCATCATATGACCCCTTTAATAAAATGTCAGTCACCTGCCAAGTCACTTCAACTAAAAAAAAAAAAAAAACGGTTACAGAGGTATACAGATTTATCAGTCAGCCAATATGAATTTCACATTTTTAAACTGTTGTATTTGTGTATTTGTTATTTCAGTCAAATAGACGTTTGATGATCCAGATCCTTATAGATAGGCCTATTAATATGAAAGACCAAAATGCCAAAATGTCTCAGTCTCATTCTGTCAGCCGAGTTCTGTAATGTATATAGGAGACTCTCTACACTTCTACACGCAAATCAGTCATTCTTGAGACATGGGACAAAACAGGTCCAGCAAGGGTAACTGCTATTAGCTTTAAAAAATAAAAATATTTTCAATTTTAAATGTCATGAGGGATTAATAATATAATGTATTTAACACCATTATCACCTTCAATTTAATTTTCTCATTATTATACCAAATCTATGTTTCTTAATGTCCTCTCACTACATCTAAAACAGTGTGTCCACAGAGAAGGGTTCAAGCATTCATATGCAATAAAATGGATAAAAAAAAAATTTAATGATGAAAAAGAGCTTGTTTTATCAAAAGCAACACCTAATATCTCATATCAAAGCAAGGTTGTTTTTTAATGACACATGCATGTTTAATACGATTTTAAAGTTGCGTCCCCACTTTTTGTCAACACCGTCAGACATTCAATAAAATGTAATAAAATCAGGGAATATCAGGGGCAGCTGTCACTCTAAAGGACCCCCTTGCCACAGTTCACCTCTGCAGAGTACATCAGTGTCAGACAGGCTCTGCTAAGTTTTAGTCTTAGAATATTTTAAATCCTAATGTTAATCTTTCCTGTGTCACAGCCATGATATGTCAACACCATCTTCCAATTTCTGAGGAAATTATTGGAAATATTTAGATAATTTTATTCTCCTGAAGCAGGTTCCATTAGCATCTAGCATCAACAGAAAAAAATAAAATGGCTACTACATGAACTCCATTGGTTTTGTGAAAGAAATGCCAAATTTGTCAACACCGTCAGATGTCACCACCATAAGATTTTGTGTTCCAGTGATATATCAAAATACTTAAAGGGGTCATATGGTGCTGCTAAAAAGAACATTATTTTGTGTATTTGGTGTAATGAAATGTGTTTATGCGGTTTAAAGTAAAAAAAAACACATTATTTTCCACATACTGTACATTATTGTTTCTCCTCTATGCCCCGCCTTTCTAAAACGCGTAGATTTTCTCAAAGCTCATCGGTCTGAAAAGCGAGGTGTGCTCTGATTGGCCAGCTATCCAGTGCGTTGTGATTGGCCGAATATCTCAAGCGTGTGACGGAAATGTTACGCCCCTCACCATATTGTGTGATGCCGTGTCCAGCCGGAGCGACGAGACAAAAACATTAAAACCCATTACAAACGCATTATGCAAATCTTCCCACATAGTGAGGTAGACATGTGGGGGCGTGTTAGAACGAGCCGTTTTAGGTAGGTGTGGCTGACTCTTAACTTTTATAAAGAACATCTCTTTGGATTTGAGACTTTAGTCTTTTTTTCGAACTTTACAGATCTTCTTTATGCACCAAGAGCTTGTTACACTCCAAAGAGAAAGGAAAAATTGAAATCGCATCATATGCCCCCTTTAAATGTGACTCTTGAATAAAAGCTTTATAAACAATAACATACTCACTGTTTGTTTTAATACAGTAATGGACTGATTCAATGTATTTGATAGTTAAAACGACTACAAATTCCGGTTTTCGTCACCACCGTCAGATGTGTCAACTCCGTCAGTTGAATATTTTGATAATATTTCATTATGATATTTTGTATTTGTTGTGGAATTGTTGGTCACATGTGAAAGTGTAATCTGTCAGCTAACACGAGAATGTGTTTTTGAAACGTTAAAAACATCTTGAATGCTGTTAAAGATAAAGCTGAAATTATATTACACATTCCAAGCTAATAAAAGCACATTTTGTTAAAAAAGAGAAAAGTTGGGAGGTTGTATCAAAGCATAGCTCAGTAGCTTAGTACATATAAGATACATAAACGTAGTTTCATTTGTCTGAGTACAAGGTTTTATTTTTTTCAATTTTGCACCCTGTTTTGTCCCACTTCTCAAGAATGACTAAAATATCAAACACATAGGCCTACCATTACAATATATAGTGGTTTCATTAATAGAATAACAAGCCATGCTCAAATAGCATGTGTAGTTTATAACTTTGAACACCTCAGACCTGTCTTTAGCTCTGTGTACTTCAGGTTGATCACAATTCAGTCCGGTGCGCCACGCACAGCGACACTCCCAACTTTAGTGTACATATTTTTACACGAACCATAGAAACATAAATTAAAAAAAATCAGTATATAACACACTAACCTGCCAACGGTCTGGTTGGCGAGCTGTTTCATGCGGTTGAACTGTTTCTTCATCTTGAATCGTCTTCAGCCACCAACATATAAAACTTTGAGAAGTCGCCGTTTAATCAAACTGCCGCCCGCACGCGCGACGCTCCCATTGCGCGCACAACTGGATCCGAACCGCAGAATCTGTGTCATTTACTGCTCATATTCATTTATAAACCGTGCGTCAAACGCGTTCCTTTCGTTTCTCATCCTCTCGATTTCTGGTTTAGTCAGTAGACAGCAGTAATAGGAAGTGCAGTTCACTTCCCTATTGTGGAGCACAGTGGGTTGTGACACAGGACACCTTGACCGAGGTTGTCCGATTAAATAACACTCTTGTTCATATAATCAGATGGCTTTGTGGATATAAATTAAAGGCTCAGATTTACCCTTACCAAAAAGTAGTATACTTCAAGTTTATTTTAGTAAGTATACTTAAGTAAAGTTCAAGTATACTTAGTAAGTATACAAATATCAGTGTACTAGTAGTATACTTGTAACTATTTCAATACTCCTTTGGATTCAGAACGATAATCAAAACATAGATAAAGTCGATCAATACCCCAAAGCTTGACAGTCATTATTACCTCTTCATTGGTCGACATTTTATTCCATAACGTTACACAGTTTTGATGCTGTTTTATGTCTGATGATCGTGTTAGAATACACGTGGAAGCATCTGTTGTTTCGGTTTCTTCTTCACTTGTGTTTTTTGGAAATTCTGTACAGAAGATGTGTACTAGCGCCCCCTACAATATAACAATGAAAACACGGATTCTAGGAGCACAATTATAGCTAAAATATATTTAGACTTTTTCTAAGTATGTCAAGTATACTTAAATTTAATTTTAAGTATGTTTCTAAGAAGTACATGAAGCCCATTTCTGAGAAGTACATAAAAAGTAGACTAAAAGTATACTTTCCTATTTTTAGTTTAAAAGAAGTATACTAATAGCACACTTGAATAAACTTCTTTTTCGTAAGGGTATGCACACACACAAATTTTGTTTCTAAATAATCCATTCCCTTTAAATCCATTCATTGTGTATAATGAAGTTACATTACTAATTTTTCACTGTAATAGTGCCATCTTAGCTGCTGAAAGCGAAATTTAAATAAGTTTTGTTGTTGTAGTTGTCCTTACATCTCCACTAAGATTTAAAAGCAAATTTGTGCAAATATGGATAATAAATCCTTATGCTGAATACAAATGTGGAAAATGATTATTGAACTTTTAGACAAAATCTAAAAATTATATTTAATATGCCCTACATGTTTTATGGGATATAGCCTAGTATGAATACAGGAGAATGGAGCTCATACAAAAAAAAATAAAAAAATAAAAAGAGCAAATTTATGGAATTTATTGCAGTTGCTGATAATTATGGCCAAATGTAAGAAAACATTTTGATAGTTTTTTTTTTGTAAATTGTAAAATCAACGAGATGTTTATAACAATAGAACAGACTTAAAAATGCATATAAATGTCTGTTTTCACACTATATCTCCCAATAATATAATAGTTAAAAGCTCAGTTGTATGATCAAAGCTCTAGTAGCCTAATTAACGTATAATGCAATTCAATACAATGACTGAGAGATTAACAAATAAACCTTCCTAAAAAATGTATCACATTTGACACTCACATTCACATCGTGTTATGTATGGATAATCAAGCAAACCTAAGTTGTTTCAGTCCAGTAAGTGTTAATTTTGAAATATTACTATAGCTAAAATCAACTTACCCATTAGGCAAAAGTAGGCGAATGCCTTGGGCCCCCAAAAGCCAAGGCCCCCCTAAAATGCTATTCATATATATGCGTACAAAAAAGGAACCTCAAGGTTGATTTAGGAAAATGTGTGCTCCATTCCTATATTTTGCCTGGGGCCCCCAATTCACTAAATCCGCCCCTGGCTAAAATATGAAGAAAAACGGCACACTGTCAGCAATTTGACATTTAGCAAGTCAACATAATCCATGCACAATTAAACCACATATTTATATTTAAATCCAATTCATAAACGTTCATACTGACATTGAAGAACACTAAACATATAAGACGAAGTGTTATTGATTTACTTCTCGGTCAGTTTCAATGCTACCACGGATTAGACTTTGATTAAAGTTGTCTTCTGCCACCTAGTGACCAAAAATCTTCCATTTCCAAGCGCCAAGTGTGAAATGTGGCCTTCACAGTATAGAACAAAATTGTCCATTTTTCCCCCGTTCTTGCCACAGTGTAAAGTGATCCATTATGTTTTTACTTCTTGTTACAGAATAAGATTCAAACTAGTTACAAATGTAGATGTGATCGCATGGGCTACGGCTTTAATCTCCACTAGACCACACCTTTGGCAACGCTTGAGCAAAGCTAGTAATTTTCTTTGAATGTTCGATTGATTTAATAACTAGAAGAAGAACAAAGTGCAGTAAACGGTAAAACTATTTGCGCTACAAATCTGTATTATGATTATGATAATGAAGTAAACGATCACAAATAACAGTGTTGCAGTGTCATTTGTACAGATAAAAGAACAGAATCATTTCCATTATTAAGTAACTGATTACTGATTTCTCGTCTAAATTAGCTGTTAAATTTTAAATTCCTTCAATATGAATTCTTTACCACTGGTCAGCATTTTACGTTTATTATTGGTCTTTTCAATCAGCAATTGCCCTTATTGACCTTGCCTGGTCGTTGAGCAATTCACTCCCATTCAAATGTAGAGTAGCGTCCTTCAACATATCAGGAGGCAAGATCCATTCGTGCCTCAGAAAGAATGGCTGAAGACAAAGTGGAGTTAGCTCTGATGAATAAGATGGGACAACATGAGGTGAGAGAGCCGAACCTGTTTGAGCGGCTCTTTCAGCCGTGTGTAGCCGAGCTGGTGGGAACCGCTTTCTTTGTGTTCATCGGATGTGTGTCCGTCATTGAGAACGTGGCGGACGCCGGCAGACTCCAGCCTGCACTGGCTCACGGGCTCGCAGCGGCGGTGCTGATTGCATGTATGGCAGAGATCAGGTGAGAAGAAATGTATTTTTACTCATGGATACAGCATGCTGTATGTGGCTGCCAAAAAAGAACAAAAATAAGAAATATGATAAAAATAGCACACCGAGTGTGACTTTTCAAAAAATGTGTATTTTTTCATCGGATGTGTGTCCGTCATTGAGAACGTGGCGGACGCCGGCAGACTCCAGCCTGCACTGGCTCACGGGCTCGCAGCGGCGGTGCTGATTGCATGTATGGCAGAGATCAGGTGAGAAGAAATGTATTTTTACTCATGGATGCAGCATGCTGTATGTGGCTGCCAAAAAAGAACAAAAATAAGAAATATGATAAAAATAGCACACCGAGTGTGACTTTTCAAAAAATGTGTATTTTTTATTTTTCTTTTATTGCTTTTTATTGCTTTCTTATTTGTGAACAAAAAACATGTAGCGTGACTAAGTGGATTTACATTTAAACAAAACGAATCTTTATTTTTATCTTTATTTTTATAGTGAACATTTTAACCCCCTCTTCATGCAATGCTAATATATATATATATATATAATATAAATATGTGTGCATGTAAAATTATAATTTGAAATATAGAAATTGTATGTGTGTGTGTGAAATTTACAAATGTATATATTAAAAGGAATTACAAATTATATTTGACATATTAACATATATAGCTTATGATGTAATATATATAATAAAATATAAAAGTTTTATAAAATATATTTTATATGTAGTTACATAAATTATATTCAAACTTATTGCTATATAATAAATAAAATGTAATAGTTTAAAACTACACATACAATTATATATAATAGAAATATTTTACATACGTTTTAATATTTATAAATTATATTATATATGTTAAATTATATTACAATTTCTCTCTCAGACTCTCTATAATTATCCAAAATATGTCAATTACAAAGTATGTTTTTATATAAACTATATCATTACAACATATACATTATGTGTTCTATTTAATTATATATATATTATAATTCATATTTTATTATGCTTTTTAATTATTAAATGCGTTTTAGTTATTAATAAATTAGATTTTCAGTAAATAAATAAAATGAATAATAAAGTTTTATTTCATGTCAAATAAAACAATCTTATCTATTAGTCAGGATTGTCAACCTCTTATATTATCTTCTATAGCCTTATAAATAGGAATCCACCGACCCCCTGCAGTACCACCAGGGATAACTGACCCCCTTTGGAAACTCTCGATCTTCGGGGTGATGTGGCTTGGTTGATCTGGTGTGGTCTTGTCTAGTCTGGTTTCTCCAAAGGATTTGTCCCTGCAGTCCTGAGCATACCTTAGTAGTTGCCTTGGATAAAAACCATGTGCTTACTGATGAATAATGCAAAGATTTGTTTTCTTCTGACACAGTGGTTCACATTTCAATCCATCATTCACTATAGCCGTCTACATCTGTGGTGGAATGGAGCTGAAAATGGTGGTGCCGTACCTGATCTCTCAGCTTACTGGAGGTTTACTTGGTGCAGTCATGGCCAATGTGAGTAAGATACATGTGGCCTTGAACCATTCAATTCAATGGATTTGACATGTTTTTCTTGATCGCTTTCAGGGAATGACCTCGAATGAAAAATATGCACAAGCTCAAGGTGCGGCATTTACAGTTCTCCAGGCTGATGACCATGTTTTGAAGCCGTTATTTGGAGAAATTGCCATGACGTGTCTTGTTACCATGGTGGTCTTACTGGGTGCAGTTAATGCCAAGAGCAAAAGTCCTTTGGTCCCATTTTTGGTGGGCTGCACAGTTATTATTAATGTACTAGTGGGGTGAGTTCATTGATTATGTTACACATAATTTCCTGTGTGCGGTCTGGAGATTAATATCTTCTGTGGGTTTCAGCGGTGATGTGTCTGGTACATGCTTGAATCCGGCGAGAGCTCTGGGTCCTGCAGTGCTGACCAACTATTGGACTCACCACTGGGTTTACTGGGTGGGACCCATTACTGGTGGCCTTATTGCTGCTGCATTAGTCAGGTGAGACTCGTGTCAAGCATTGTGAGTTCCATAGAAAGAACTGAAATCATCATTAATCAGCCATATTCTATATTTCTCAATTTAACTGGATTAAGATATTTTTATTAAGCCATTTTTTCCTTTCAGAATTTTGCTCGGAGACAACAACACCCGTCTACTGATGAAGTAACATTCAGTACATCTTTCAAACAGGCTTTGGATTTTTATTTTCTTAATTCTCTGTCTGAGTGCACCAGAATTGAACTTGTTCTAATGATTTGTCCATCATTTACATCTCATTTAATTCAATAAAAATGTAAGATAGTTTGTAAATCCTGCTGTGACGCTGGAAATATGGGGAAAGGATGCTCTGGTGAATATTAATATTTAGAATTTTATATTTTAAATTAGTAAATTTAAAAAAATGGAAAATGTTGTCTAAAGCAGTGTTAATTCTAATCTAATCAAATACATTATATTCACACTTCATACAATCACAGTATTCTATTATTTTATGTTCATTCGTGCACATTTTTATGCCTTATATTACCCATTTCTTGGTAATTAATCAGAATAAACTCTGCAATACAACTGAAATGACTCTTTTTCACATATCTGGCAAGCTCAAAAAGGTACTTACTAAATGCAAACATGTCAAAAGTGTGTTTGAGCCTGTTAACATGTATGGATTTAACACCGGTTATATATGAACACATTGTGGGAAGCTTTAAAAGCACCATGTCAAAGGTGATGACCCTGTCATATCTGTCACAGGTTAGTTAGAGAGGTTAGTCATCAGCTGAGTAAAAGAGGTGGACATTGGTAACACTTTAAGTCCACTGCAAAAATTTAAGAATGCATAAGAGATCATTAGCTTAAGCAGAGTTTAGCTATTAAAAATTAGTTCAACTTATAGTAGCTATACTAATATAGCCTGTATGTTGAATTATTCCTATCCATTCTCAGAAAACTATACACTCTAAAAAATGCTGGGTTAAATATAACCCAGCGCTGGGTTAAAAAGGGACAAACCCAGCTATTGGGTTGTTTTGACAAAAAACTGGTTCAAAACAACCCAACCACTGGGTCAAAACAACCCAATAGCTGGGTCAAAACAACCCAATAGCTGGGTCAAAACAGCCCAATAGATGGGTCAAGTCGTGGCCTAATGGTTAGAGAGTCGGACTCATAACCCAAAGTTTTGGGTTCGAGTCTCGTACCGGCAGGAATTGTAGGTGGGGGGAGTGAATGTACAGCGCTCTCTCCCACCTTCAATACCACGACTGAGGTGCCCTTGAGCAAGGCACCGAACCCCCAACTGCTCCCCGGGCGCCGCAGCATAAATGGCTGCCCACTGCTCCGGGTGTGTGTTCACGGTTTGCGTTCAAAACAACCCAACCGCTGGGTCAAAACAACCCAATAGCTGGGTTTGTCCCTTTTTAATTTTTTAGAGTGTAGCATCAGACGAGTGCGCACTCTGTGGTCAACATTTTATTTATTTTTCAGTAAAACCGACATAGAACTTTAATGTCACACTTTCGAAATTATGATTGGCGGAATATAGGCCTATGTAAATGTTTAAATAGCGAAATTCTCGATAATATAGGTGACAAATATTTGGATATTTAAGTCGTGTCGGACAGTCACTGCGTAAGATGAACTGCGTGACCGTAAAAAGCTAAGATTTAAAAGACATTCATTGCAGTTAAACAAATAAATAGCGCAGTTTTTCTTAAAAAAAAAATACATAAGTTCATTCAAAAACTCAAAACATTAGAATTAATTTCGCATTTATTTCAGTGTTAAGTGTTGAATTCTTAATGTCTCAGATGTTTATTTTACATTTGAATGATAAAACACAAAACACAGATAATCCAAAATTAAACCAATGAAAATATAGGCTACAGTACAAACACGGGAGCCTTTGACACATTGAGCAGTCTGTGACTGTTAGTTATAGGCCGTATGTGTTTTTGAATATTTCATTTTGAAGTAAAAATCACAGTAAAATAATCAGTGATAGACGGAATTAAAGGGATTATTAAGAGGAATATGGATCTGCTGTATCAAGTTCATGGCGACATCTTGTGGCTTTTGGTGGACTGAACTTCCTCGACAAGAAGGCTACAAAATTTTACATTCAATTTGAAATCACGCCCCTAATTAAATCAATTTTAGCGTTTGTATTTGTGCAATTATTGAAAAATATTGACAATATCGAAAAGGCTTTCGGAAAAAAAAAAAAAAAAAAAAAAACTTGTTAATTAAATGATAAAAAATATAGTGCCAGATAGAAACGATGTACAAGTATGAAGATGATTCATTTTTAATTATTATGCGTGAGCAATACGTTTTGAATCAATTCTACAGACAGATAAATTACACTGTTTTCTTTGCAAAAATACTGACCTCTTGTTTACTCTACACCGTTAATTAAACAGGTTAACATCGTTTAATTTCATCACTTAAACAGGCTGCGAGCTCACTAAAGTATTCCGCAAATTTAGAAATTATTTGTACCAATCAAACACTTTACGTTTTTGAAGAGTAAAAGGATCGTAAAGCAGCTTTATATCGAAATGTTAACATCTACATCAATTATATGTTCAACAGAAAAACGAAAAGTAACGAAATACGATTCTAAACCCTAAACGATTGCGCCTTAAATATTTAGGCCTAAAATGAGCCTAACGGGTTTAATTACATATTTAGCATATTTCCCTTCACTCTTTCGAAAGGGTGTGCTTTAATAGAGACTACTGTTTGGAACCTTCAAATACATACAAAATATAACCAGCAAAATACCATAAAAGTTCATAAAAGAGGGACTAAACAATGTCCTTTAAAAAGGTGCATTAAGCTGATACACATATGTAGTGTTTATTTCATATACTAGTCTAGAGTAACTGCAGTCAGGGCTTTTTTTATAAGTGCCGAAAAATTAACGGCAATTTTCCGTGGCGTGCAAATACGGCATTCTTTATAGGTGTTGCTATATATTATGATAAACAGCGTTTTATAAATATATTTATTTATTTGTATTTAATAGGACTGAAAACCTGAAACCTGCTCGAAACGCAGCAAATCTGTGCCTTCCCCTCCACGACATGCCGTCCCAAATTACAGAAAAAAACGTTTAAATTCAATACAAATAACGGAATAAAAACAGAATAAACTACGTAAATACATAACGATTGTGGGTCTGGTCTTAAATCCACTTTATAAATCATAAATCCACAGTTATATCGATAGCCTATATTATTTCGTATCGATATTTTCCGAATCTCCCTGTTTATGCAAGAAAAATCTAGTTAGGATAAGTGTCCATATATTCGGGTTAGCCTACCGGAATGTAATTTTGCAGTATTGTGCAAATCATAGCACTCATTAGCAGTCTTAAACGATTTTAAGATTAATAATTTATTTTCATTAATCATTTATACAATAGGCTATTTAAAAACCAGTAGGCTATATCCGACATTTCTTTCTTTCTTTCTCAAAAAATTATTATAAATAATGAGAATTAGCCTATTTTAAAACAAAACCCCGCTTCGGACAAAAAAAGCATTTTCTTGTGTATAGCCTAGTGTTTTCTTTTTAATGAAGTCAGTCGTTTGACTGTCAAGTCATATTTAAAAAAATTAATCTGTCATAGCCTATGTTTTTTTCTGTATAAAAATGTATATGCAAATATATTTTACTGTCATGTGGAATTTTATCTGTCATGGAAATGATCTGCGATCTGATGTACAGCAACTAATCTTTTATTTGATTTGAAATTCGATTAATTCGATTTTTGTCCGATTCATTCGATGCAACGGATAATAACAAACGTAGGAAATTATCTCGTTTTCATTTACCGCCATGTTTTCTTATTTGTTTCGATTCGATGAATTTAAATTAATCGAGAGAAAAAAAATCCTCGTTACTTGTTATTATTATTATTATTATAATTATTAAGATTCCTAATTCTCAAGCTCGTTAGCTATAATGACAAGAAATCTCTGAATTTCAGGCAAAAAGAGCAACAATGTGTCCTCTGAAATCGAATAGTAGGCTAAATTAATAGCATTTTTGTTTTTTACTGTCTGTGCTATTCAAATAATCCATCGTTATTTTAAATCAGTCATACAGATATTCAGACTCATCAATAAAACAGTCGAACCGGAGGCAAAACAACTGCATGTTTATATATTAGCCTTAGTCCCGAACTGATTTTTAATCTAGTTAGCGTACAATATATTTAAAAATAGTTTATCTTCTGATAAATTAAATTCAAGTAAAAAAAGAAGAAGAAAGCGAGAGAAGTTAGGAGGAATATGATTGTCATTTCTTTATTATATTTAATTGAACTATTTCGAATAGCTACCTTGAGCAGATTTTATTTTTACATTTCATGTTTATATATGGAAACAGGACACAAATAGCCTACTAATATGTAATATAATATAATATAATAATATAGTAAAGCAGAACGTTTATGAACCTCCTCTCTCGTTTATCTAAACGCATTATTATATCTTAAATATTATATAATACAGGATTTTGGGGCAAAATTATAATACCAACATCTACATCTCATACTGGGACATCTCATTATAATATATGGATCCATGGTTAGCACTTTTCCTGCTAATATCATATTTAAATAATATGTTTTAAGATCTTCTTGACATAGATGCTGTATGGATTTAGCTGACTCACCCAGAAAGATGACCTATATGTATTTTAGGCATTAACACGACTACTCTATGTATAGTAAAAAACTAACTTTCCATTCATTTTTTTATACATAGGAGCCCAATCAGGGCAGCAGGATGATGTGGGGTTGTTTTCTGGCCAATATGAGACAGACATGGTGCTTTATGAACATGGTACTGCACCTAGGAGGCAGCATTGCTAAATTGCTCTAATTTATAAGAGCCTCTAATTTGTAAGCATTCATTTAAATTGGACAAATATATTTTCTCTGGATGCGGTTAATCAGACAAACTGAAATAAAAAATATGAATGACACATTACAAAACAAATCATTCATGTTTATTTTTGTACAGAGTTTAATATTGATTTAAGAAGCATTTTCAAACGGACAACTCAAAGTTTACATGCCATAATGCATATAAATGGCCTTAACCTTAATGGCATTATTGTGTAATTTGTACATTACATACTGTACATCTCATTGTGTACATACAGTACATTGCATTGACTGTAAATTGATTCAAATACCTACAAAATCTATAGCATCAATTTTACATGTACTTTCTGGCCAAAT